AAGATTTTATTTATTTATTCATGAGAGAGAGTGAGAGAGAGGCAGAGGGAGAAGCAGTCTCCCCAAGGAGCAGGGAGCCCGACACAGGACTCGATCCCAGGACCCTGGGATCATGACCTGAGCTGAAGGCAGACGCTTAACCATCTGAGCTACCCAGGCGCCCTATTTTTAGTTAACTTTTGTATATGATGTGAGGCATGGCTAGTCAATCATTCTAGCACCATCTGTTGAAAAAACTTTTTCTTTTTAAAAGATTTTATTTATTTGACAGAGTGCGTGAGAGAGCACAAGCACGGGGAGCAGCAGAGAGAGAGGGAGAAAGTCTTTCCTGCTAAGCAGGGAGCCTGATGCAGGGCTCGATCCCAGGATCCTGAGATCATGACCCGAGCCAAAAGCAGATGCTTAACCAGCTGAGCCACCCAGGCACCGCAAGACTATCCCTTTCTCCACTGAGCTGCCTTTGCACTTTTGTCCACAGTTGTCCATATATACTGTGGGTCCATTTAAGGATTCTCTAGTATGTCCTGATGATCTACCTGTCTGTCTTCATGCCAGTACCATAGTTATCTTGATTATTGTATTTTTATAAGTCTCAAAATCAAGTACTATAAGTCCTTCATATCTTCGATTTTTTTCAAAGTTGTTTTGGCTAGTCTAAATTTTTGCATTTCCTATGAACTTTAGAATTAGCATGCCATTTTCTATTGGGGTTGTACTAAGTCTAAAAGTTCAACTGACGTCTAAATAATATTAAGGCTTAGAGACCATGAACATGATATATTTCTCCATTTATTTAGGTCTTTAATTTTCTCAGCAATGCTCTGTGGTTCTTAGTGTACTGATCTGTAAATCTTTTGTTATATTTCTCTCTTAAGTATTTAATATTTTCTGATGCCACTGTAAATAATGTTGTTTTTCAAAATTTCAACTTATGACTGGTCTAAGTACATAGGAATACAACGGACTTTTGTATAATGAATTATACTGTATCCTTCATTCTTGCTAAACTTATTAATTCTAGTAGTTTTTTGGGTAGATTCTATCAGATTTTTAACATAGACAATCATATCATCTGCAAATGAACACAATTTTACTTCTTCCTTTCCAATCTGGGCAACTGTTCTTACTTCCTTTGAACTTACTGCACTGGCTAGGACCTCTACTATAATGCTGAAAACAAAGTGGTAAAAATGGATATTCTTGACATGTTTCTGATGGGTGTTGGATTTTGCTGAATGCTTTTCCTGAACTACAGAGATGATTTTATGATTTTTCTTTTAATATTTATAAATTCTGTCATCTCTCTAATTCCTGATATTGGTAATTTGTTGCCTTTTCTCCTTTTATTTCTGATCAGTCCAGTTAAAGGTTTATCAATGACTTTGATCTTCTCAAATAACTAGTTTTTGGTTTCACTTATTTTACGTATTGCTTTCCTATTTTCTGATTTTTATAATTTCCTTTCTTCTGCTTATCACATAATTTGTTTTTATTTACATTATGTCCTCCCTTTCTCTTTTTCTAGCCTTTTACACCTGGCATTTACTCTTAATCATTTTTGCCTGGAAGTTTTTAAGGCTATGAATTTTCCTTTGATCACTGTTTTAAATGTATCCCATGGATTCTGATATGTACTGTTTTCATTATTAAGAAAATCTGTAATTTTATTTTGTATTTTCTCTTTCACATAAGAGTTAACAGTTTTAAAATTTCTAGTTTGCTGGGCCTGTTTTTGATTTTCTAATCATTTATAGCTTTACTGCTTTGTGATCAGAGTATTATTTGTAATATTTCTACTTTGTGGGACTTTCTGATATTTTCTTCTCTACATGGTTTGTGTAAGAAATAGCTTGCTGCTGGGCACCTGGGTGGTTCAGTCAGTTAAGTGCCTGCCTTCAGCTCAGGTCATGATCCCAGAGTCCTGGGATGCAGGGTCACATCGGGCTCCCTGCTCAGTGGGAGCCTGCTTCTCCCCCTGCAGCTCCCCCAGCTTGTTCTGTCAAATAAAAAAAATCTTAGGGGCGCCTGGGTGGCTCAGTCGTTAAGTGTCTGCCTTTGGCTCAGGTCATGATCCCAGGGTCCTGGGATCGAGCCCTCATTGGGCTTCCTGCTCTGCGGGAAGCCTGCTTCTCCCTCTCCCACTCCCCCTGCTTGTGTTCCTTCTCTCGCTGTGTCTCTCTCTGTCAAAAAAAAAAAAATCTTAAAAAAAAAAAAGAAATAACTTGCTGTGACTTGGTGTTTACTTTTCCACTTATCAGTAATTTGAAGTTTGCACATTATCTTTCAGGTAGGATGAGGATGCAGTTTTACTTTTTTAAAAAATTTAAAAGAAATACAACGTTATAAATAAAGCTAAAGGTACAATTTCTTTCCTTCTCCTCCCAAAGGAAAACCACTGTATAGTGTCTATGTATACTTCTGAAGTAGATGTGTATCATTCCCATGAACGTTTTTATATTTACTAAATATGTATCCATAAACTATACAGGCTGTTTTGTTATTTTAGTTTATATAAATAGTATCATATTGTATATCTTCTTTTTTGAGATTTATTAATGTAGATACACCTCTCTAGTGAATATTATAGTTTATTCACTCTAGCTGCCATATCCCACTGCATGAGTAAGTAATAATTATGACTCTCCCCTTTGTTGATTCCAATTTTTCACTATTATAAAGAGCTACCATGAACACCTTTATACATGATCCTCTTGAGTAAATTTCTACTTAGATACCAAGAAGTAAATTTTTGAGAGGCACCTGGGTGGTACAGTCAGTTAAGCATCCGACTCTTGGTTTTGGCTCAGGTCGGTTGTGAGATCCAGCCCCAAGTCAGGCGCCACACTCAGTGTGGGGTCTGCTTGAGATTCTTTCTCCCTCTCCCTCTCCTGTTCATGCTCTCGCTCTTTCCCTAAAATAAATAAATAAATCTTAAAAAAAAAAAAAGTAAATTTTTGAGTCATAGGGTATGAGCCAAACTCTTCTCAAAAGAAGTTCTATTAATTTATATCCCCACTATCTAAGATTTCCTATTTTCCCAAACTCTTGGCATCACTGGACACCTCCATTTTTTCAATTTTTAAAACTGATCAGAGCTAACCAAACCTCTCATATAAAAAAAGTAGTATTGGGCACCTCGGTGGCTCAGATGGTTAAGCGTCTGCCTTCGGCTCAGGTCATGATCCCAGGGTCCTGGGATCGAGTCCCGCATCAGGCTCCCTGCTCAGCAGGGAGCCTGCTTCTCCCTCTGCCTCTGTCTGTCTCTTGTGAATAAATAAAATCTTTAAAAAAAAAAAGTAGTATTTACAGATGGAAAACTGAGGTACTGAATTACTGCTTTATGTTTTTTTTTTTTAAGATTTTATTCCTTTATTTGAGAGAGAGAGAAAGCATGAGGGAGGGAGGGTCAGAGGGAGAAGCAGACTCCCCGCTGAGCAAGGAGCCCGATGCGGGACTCGATCCCGGGACTCCAGGACCACGACCTGAGCCGAAGGCAGTCGCTCAACCAACTGAGCCACCCAGGCGCCCTTACTGCTTTATGTTTTATAGGTATTCCATTACTGGGTCTTAAACTACTAGTTTTAAAGGTATAAGACAATTTGTTGATGTTTATTTTCCAGGCCCAAAAAGTAATTTAAGCATAGCAGTGTGTCTGGAGTACAATGTTTTGGCTTCACCATAAAACTGCTTTAACCCAATGTTAATATATCATCAGACTACTCTGAAGGGTGTTTTAAGAAAATCTGTTGCTGTTACAGTACTGCTGAGTACTTTTTACGCTTGTTAATTAAATATGACTCTCCAGAAATTTTTATCTAGTCTCTGTACAGGAGCAACTAGACTTATCTTGAACATCTGGTTCATTTTTATTGATGAACACTACTGGTCTTAGCTCTTTAATTATGCTAGATGTTAGAAAGCTATTGCTAAATACAAGGTCTATGTCTAGCAAATGTATAGAACCTTAAAATAGCAGGCTCCATGCCCAGTGTGGAGCCTGATGTGAGGCTTGATCTCATGATCCTGAGATCATGACCTGAGCCAAAATCAAGAGTCGGATGCTTAACCAACTGAGCCACCTAGTACCCCTGATCTACTTCATTTTGTATGCATTTTTCTAAGCCACCACAATTAAATATTCAGTTGAATAAATTCATAATATTAATTAAAAATGATCAATGCTATAAAATCTATATTTTTTCAAAAATATGAACTAGAAGTTTCTATTCCATCATTCTTTTATACTGTCGAAGGCAATCAGATTAGAAAGTATATTCTGGGATCACTTTGGTGCCTTTTTCTTTTTTTTTAAAGCTTTTATTTTTAACTAATTTCTACACCCAACATAGGGCTCAAACTTACAACCCCAAGATCAGGAGTTGCATGCTTTACCGAACGAGCCAGCCAGGCACCCCTGGTGCTTACCTTTTCTGCTACTTCCCGCACAGACTGAACACTTGTTCCATATAGATGGTTGTTATACTGGCCAGCTTCAATAAATTTATGTTCTTGAATATCTTTTTCCATCTGCTCTCTTGAAGTCACAAAATGATAATCTCTTCCATCTACCTCATAGTCTCGTTTTGGTCTAGTTGTATCTTTAATAGAAAATAACTTGAGGAAGTGTTTAGTATTAAACACAACAAATCCATTTTCTGCTTCAATAATAGTAAAGTTCAACACAATGGCAATTAACTGAAATTTAAAAAGGGACAATAATATGGAGGAATAACTGATAACTTAGTATAAACCATTAAAAAATGGTAATGTTTACTTTTACCACACATGATGACAAAATGTTAAGAGCAATAATTAACAATTTTTATGTGGGTTACTCACGAGGAACACATGATCCAAATTTGTCAGGAAATTCTGAGATCAAGTCATCATTTATCCTGTCTTTCATAGGTCCCAATATGATCACTGGTCGAGTATAATTAACTATAAAGATAAACTGCATGTTAAAAGGAATAAATATTCAACAAACATCAATGTACTTCAGACCAGAGAACAAAAGTATCCTTAAATATTATAAAAAAATTTTTTTTCTTTTCCCATCAATGATGCCTAACTTGCCAGTTTATAAACCTTTACTAAGATCTTAAACAAGTCAGTCTCCTATTGGAAGTCATACACTTGATAACTCAACCAAGTTAAATTCAGAATTTTAGCAGTGTTTCTATACATTGCTAATATCACCTCATTACAAATAAGAAAACACAGTTTAGTGTTTTACTGATCCTTTTTGAAGTAGAAATTATTAGGAAGCAGATCAAAGAAGGGCAAAAGAGAAACTGGGCATAAGAGTTGATATAATCACAGTCGTGATCTAGAAAGATGATCTAATAGAAGTGGATTACACCTTACACTGGATTGTAAGGGATCATGTTAGAAACAGGGAGATTGATAGTAAGAACCAGAATTAACATTATGGTAGGAAGGATGAAAAGAAGATTATAAATAAGGAAGATATGAGAGAAGATAAATAGGGCCTAGAAACTGGACAAGGGAGATGAAAAACAGAAAGATCAAAGATGTTTCCAAAATTTTGAACAAGGGTCACTGAAGGACAGTGACACTACCATGAGCACTAGAAATAAGTTGCTTAGGAAATAAAACAGCATTATAAAACAATATAAAATGACTAGATTTCAACATACTGTGAACTAAACCATGTTTCATAAAATACATATAGCAAATTTCTGTATATATACTTACAGAAAAAAATATAACAAAATTCTAATAAAACATTATTTTGAGGTAGGAGTTAGACCTATTTTCTAAACTAAGAAGTATATTTTTCTAGAAGATTATAAAACATCAATAGGCTTCACAAACCTTCTTGTTGATTCACTGGCTCATAAGACAAGACATATTCTTCTTGACCACCTATTAGTCAAAATACAGATGAGAAAATCTATTAAGATAACTAATGCTAATTTAATTCTTCATACATAACATATAAATTGCTAGGACTTTCCTCAGAAAATAGCAAATATGTAGAAAAAGGTACTTTATTTATGGCAAGATTAAGTTAAAAAGGTAGCAAATTATGAAGTCATAAGGATAAGTTTGATACATGTAAAAACAATATAAATGTGCTATTTAACAACTACCTTTCTGTTATCCTGTGTTTTAAATTATCATTAGATCTATTTAAAACCTTCATTTGTGACATCATGTATGTGATACTAATTTTTATTTATAAGTTAAGAACTATTAAGTCTCTTAAAGATAAGTACTTTAATGAAAAGTTCTACATATGTGAGTATTTATGTAATTTACTGCTATTAAGAATATGCTGATGTTTTGGTCCCACCAGATGTAATATTTAACAGGATATATATATATTTTTATAATTATAACTATAATAAAAAATTGTAATGTAAAGGTAAAACTGTTGTCACTATTTCACTGATGAAAAAAATTAACTGCTCTAATAATTCATTTATTCAATTAAAAATAACATTTAAAATGAATTTAAAAAGCTTTAGATAAGGGTGCTCCCTTCTACTTGCTGGAATGGGATGCTGCACAATTCATTAATTGCTTAATAAAGCCAATTAGATCTTCAAAAAAAAAAAAAAGCTTTGGATAAAACTGAATCCTTCCCTTCCCACTCCAACTATGAATCACATAGATAGCAAATGAAATAAGATATATTTTGCTTTGACTTGAAAGCACTTTAGAAGTTAAATCCTCTAAGATTAAGTTAAAGGTTTAGAGCTTAAAATATCGTCAATAAAAAACTCTACAAATTGTATCTTGACTCAGCAAAAGGAACTGAAAGACTTAAAAATTCCAGTTCTTAACACACACACACACACACACACACACACACACACACACGTATAGAGAACAAACTAGGAAGGACTGTTACTTCAAGTGGTTCAATGAAAACAATCAATGTTGGATAACATATTTGAGGATTTTCTCCTTGATTATCAAGATTCTATAACAACTTTTTCACTAAATATGGCACTGGTTTATATCATATGTATGCAGCTGTAGATCTTTTAAACTCATATATTGGCTTTAAAAGTGTATTTCATTGCTTTAAAAGTGTTCTTTCCTGCTTTAAAAGTGTATTTTACTGTTTTATTGTCATAATATATAAAAAACATACCTAACAAGCTGCTTTTAAAAATACTGTACGTAAAACAGGGTTTACATATTAGCAAAAACATGCAATTTGAATATTCCACACCTAATAATTCATGCAAATGGTGAGACAGACAGTATATACTTTCATTACCTCTTTTTTTTTTTTTTTTTTTAAGTCTAGAAAGTTACTCAACTACTCTATGGTGAGTTCTGATTATATGTTAATAAAACACTAACAAGAAATCACATTCCCACACCAAAAAAAGAAAATCATTATGTAACTATTATGCAAAAAATAACAACCAATCAAATGAGGGTTAAAAGTATATATTGTCAACATGAAAAATATCAGAGACTGATATTAACAGGATGGACCTTTTGAGCAGCCATACTCATCTGTAATCAAGATTACTTTCATATTAGACAGCAGTAAAAAAAAAGTTAGAAAAGCAATTTTAATTTTTAAGGAACCACAACTGATAATATTCATGTACTCCCCCCATGTCCAAATCTATTAAAAAACTCCAGATGCTTGTATAGTTCACTTAACAAGAGCAAAAATGTAACATAAGCACACCAAAAAGGAAATCAGTATTGTATGAGCAACTGTTGAAAATTTTTCCTTCATCATTTAGGTTCACCAGAAGCTGGTAGTAAACAATAATAACTTGATCTAGATCATTATTGGTGACAAAGAATAAAAAAGGAAATAAAGCTAACTGTAATTTAGCATTACTGAAAAACATTTTATTAAAAAAATTTTTTTTTGAAGATTTTATTTATTCATATGAGACAGAGAGATACAGAGAGAGAGCATGAGCAGGGGAGAGGCAGTGGGAGAGGGAGAAGCAGGCTCCCTGCTGAGCCAGGAGCCTGGGATCATTACCTGAGCCTAAGGCAGATGCTAAACCATCTGAGCCACCCAGGCGCCCCTTGAAAAACATTTTAATGCTCATATTAAAAACAGATTTACTAAAGAAAATGGCAAAATGCAAGTTTATCCCTCATTTAACTAGATATTTTCTTGTAAAAGACACACACACACACACACACACACGTACTATGTACACAAATAGCACTGTTTGTAAAGAGGATTTTAGAGTTTTATTAAAATTTTGGAACTTTGTTAACTTTTGTACATAGTATGACTTTATTTTTCAATTCAGAATTTTACTTGGCTCTCTGTGATTTTAAAATGTTAAGCATCTGATATTCAGTTTTTAGAATATATCACTAAGACAAAAAACTCCCAAAGGATATATATTACTTGTGATTACAAAAGAAAAGTAACTTAAAACACTTACGGTAACTACTTTCACTATCGCTGGCATTAGAAGTTATATGCTCTGAAATTGCAGGACAATGGAAAAAATAAAGAAAACACAGTGTCATGAGTTTAAAAAAGCAAATTATCAAAATAAACACAAGGCGACATTACAAAATGTTGAGATATAAATACACATACTCAAAGAATTTTTAAAAAGCATTTTTGATTTTCTTTGAAAAATTTTTTTTCCCCAAATATGAATTAGGAAGAAAAGAAATCATGTAATTAAGGACAATGCTCCATTTCTGTACAACACAGTTTATGAACAAAATCTACGGAAAATAATCAAGTAGAATATGACAAAGAAGGCAAAGTGATCCTAAATTAGTCCAAATGTAGACATAGAACCCCAAAGGAGAAAATGCAGTTGGCACCATTTAATTTATGAAACAGTAATGACCAACAAAAGAGACAAGTTATATTTGAGCAAACAGATGCCCATTTTAATGAAGGGATGTCTTAAAAAAATAAGTGATCTTGCTTTTAGTTCAGCTTCTTTCTTGTTCCTGAAGAGAAATGAAAATCCAGGTCTCTGAGATCATACAGATAAAACATTTTAGATGTCACAGATGCATATGTTCCAAAAAAAAAAGTCAAACGGAAGGGAATTCTAGAAGGTGGGACTGTATTTTAAAATAGACTAGTATTTCTGAGAAGCTCTGTTTTGATAAAATTGACAATGGCTGCTTTGCAAAACAAAAAAGATAAAGCAAATACATCTACTTGCAAATTGCCTGGTCTCTCCTTGAAAGTGACCCCATTTCATAACTTGATTGTTCCATAAACACCAGGTACTCTTCCCATGTAAATGTAATCTTGAATGTTCTCTCAATAAGTATCTCCAGAGTAAATAAAATAAAATAAAATAAAATAAATTATAAAAACTAAAAAACAAAATTTTCCACAGGAGAAAGTGAAATCTAAATTTCTTATGTGAGGCAAACGAAAAAAAATTTTAAGGGGTAAGAAAACAGCTTGAGGAGAAATATCTGCTGTACCATACCACCCACAGAGTCTCCTAAAATCAAGATGCACTACTGAAAAGTTCTGAGAATGGTAGAATTTAAGATTTCAAATGAAGATAATAGTTCTTGAACTGCTGTCATGGTGAAAAATAAATCTGTTATTCTAACCTGCAAAGACAAGATATAATTTTCTTTCTTCCTTTTTTAAAATTGCAGTATAGTTAACATACAATGTTGGATTAGTTTCAGGTGTAAGGATATAACTTTCTTAATCATGATTATAAATATTTTAAATATAGCAGGGACATTAAAAATTGTAAGACTGAATAACATATGACAAGCACATGTAAAATGATGTTTTTTAAAAGTCTGTATTTAAAAATTTCTTCCCATGTTAAATGTACTTCGAAATAATCATTTTAAATTGTTGCATAATATTCTATTGAACTGATAAATCATAATTTACCTTACTACTTATTACTCAGACATCTTACTTTGCTTTAAATTGTTTTCCACCAACATCAATAATTAGGAATGTCTTCATTTATACAACTTTTTAATCTCTTGTCCTATTTCCTTAAAATTCATTCCCCAAAGTAGGAACGACACATAAAAAAAAATTCTTATAAATTTGTATTAGGATTAGTATTGTACTCTACAATCTCTAATACATAAAAGAGAGAAACATTAGTTACTGCAATGGAGTGAAGGGGGAGAGTAAGTGGGAGTATAGAAGAGACAAAATTAACCATGAGCTGACAATTACAGAAGTTGGGTAAATGAATACTTGCAGGCTTTAATTTACTATTTTTCTACTATTGAATATATTTGGCATGTTATACAGTAAAAAGTTAAAGCTACTACAAATCTCTTCTGTCTTTTCTGGGGATTTCTCCTACTCATCTCAAGTTCTCTAAGATTACCGATAGCTGTTATGCAATCAAATTCTTCAAGTTCTTTCACGTATCCTTATATGTAACTACAATAAAATTTTGCTATTCAAAGCACGGCCCTTGGAATAACATCATCACTATGCGGAAATATTTATTAGAAAGGTAAAATGCTTTCTTCTTGATAATTAAAATACATTTTTTAAGAAACTTCACCAAAAAAGGTATTCAAATATCCAGTAAACATATAAAAAGGTGTTCAAGTTTTCCCTGTAATTTTCCCCTGTAATTACTTATCAGCGAAATGCAAAATAAAGCCACAACAGATATCTCTACCATCCACCAGAATGGCTATAATGAAAAAAACCCAAAAACAGATATGCCAAACACAGAGAAGGTAAGTAGCAACTGGAACTCATATACTACTGAGGGTGGCGAAATTGGTACGACCACTATGGAAAACTATTTGGCAGTAACTACTAAAGCCCCACAGATGTATGTATGTATGACCCAGCAATTCTTTTCCCAGCTATTTCCCCAACAGAAAGACATATATATGTTGACCAAAAGACATGTGGAAGAATGTTCAAAGCAACACTATTCAAAATAGCCCTAAATATATGTTTATTTACAAGTCTTAGATAATAATATGCAGTTTCATATTCTTTTTTTTCATTTATATTATGAGCATTTTCCCATGTCATGTTTTAATATGATTTTCAATGGTTATATGATATTACAAAATACAGATAAATCATACTTCATTAACCACTTCCTAAATATAAAGACATTTTAGGATGGTTTCAAATTTTTTTGACTGTAATTTCTCAATAAAATTAAAATAAACTTCCTGATATATAAACCTTTATCTCTATCTCTGACTACATACTTAGGATAATTCCTTGAAGAGGTATTAGTAGGTCAAAAGATACACTTTTCCAGATATGCATAATGTTAATATATTAAAACTAGTCATTTCATACAACTCTACCACTGAGTTCTCCTTTAAAAGAAATGTCTGTCAAGATGATGGGTAGAAATTATCATTTTGTTTACTGCTTACTGGGGACATTAAGTATTTTATATACTCATTTCATTTGTTATCTTTTGAGCATTCTTCTCACATCCTTTGTTCAGTTATCAAATGAAGAATTAGTCTGCTTCTTACTGATCTGTTAGAAATTCGTAAAGATATTATCCCTTTGACATACATGGTATATTCTTTAAGTTTTAATTTTGATTTTGTTTATGATGTTTGATGACCACAGCCACTTCAAATCTAACCAAGTCTCCCCTTTCTAATCAAACATTTCTTCCTGAGAAGGTATCATATGCCTTTTCTTTGCTCTCCCTAACTACTACCTACACATCACCCATCTTAAGCCATAGTACTACTCTTACACTTATTCTTTATACAAATAAAAATAAGTCTGGTTTTGGCATCTAAGAACTCCACACAACTTTATTTCTGTAAGTCTCTGAGATAAGAAAGGCTTCCCATTACGTATCTCTTTCTTATGTGCCTGACAGAGTTTTTGAGGTGTTCTACAAAATGGAAAGCTGTAAAAATTGAGCTATAGGTACAAACCTCGTCTGAAACTGTATATCATGATTTCACTTCTGAGCACCTTACACAGCCCCTCCTAAACTTATTTCTTTTTAGTTCTCTGTTAAAGGAATCTTACATTTTTCCTTTTCACCTTTTTCAAAGTTGCCTTAAGATTACAAGTTGTACACGTTTCTATTTCTAGCTTTTCACAAGCTATGACGATTTACTTGCATTCTCTCACACTTCCATCATATTCTAGTTAGTTGTTAGTCAAAATTAGGATTGGAAAGGCAAATTCTCTCATTGTTTCCTCTACTCTCAACAGGGCAAATCAATGATTTATTTGATTCTCTTTTGTAGAATCACTGAGTTCATGTCTATGAAAAGTGTTCAGGGTATCACACTTTTGTTTCTCTCCTTTTCAGTTAAATACCCTATTTTTCACAGGTTATATGAAATTACATGCAGATGTACATCTTTCTTGATATTCAGTGTTATTCCATTTCTTCATCAGGTTTGTTTCTCTGAAATAATTTATGCCTTTTCTTCTCAGTCCCTTCATGAGTCCTGTTTCAACAAGGCTTGATGAATACCTATATGAGTCACACTTATTTCTTTCTATTAAAATCTCACAGGATTCTGCTTAGTTTATTTCCTGTATTTGGAACTTTAGAATATAGATTACTGAGGCTACGAATAAAGTCCCTGACCACCCTTTCCCCAGCATTTTCTGTTGTATAATAACTGGCACCTTGTCAACTGTTAGTCATCTGTTTTATCCAGGTTTAGAATTTTTACTGATATCTTCCTGTCTCCCTCATTTGATCATCAAGTTACCAGGTGAATAAATTATCTTAGTTCCTGTGAGATGAAGCACAAAACCCATCATTCAAGGGATCTTAAGTCTCTGTCCAGAAAATTAAATCCTTTTCTAAAGGACATTGTCTGATAATCAGTTACTATTTTTCATTTGTTTCTCTTCTCAAATCCCAACTGTCAAAATGAGAGATGGAAATAAGATATGGCCGAGGTGTAATTATCATCCATAACAATATCAATATAGTAAACAAACTGTCCATTTAGTTTCTTTCCAATGAGTTTTCCACAGGTCTCTATAATGATTTAGCAGATAATAAAAATCTGTGAGTTTTTTTTAATGCTGAATCATACCACCTCTGAAACACATCATTCTCAAAATAAATTCTATAGCATTAAGAATCTATGGAAATATTTTCCAGTTTTAAAGATTTTCACTGATTATTTTCCCCAAAGGTAAAAGATTAAAAAAGGGTACCACCAGTAATAGTAAATTTGTGGCTCTTGCTGAATCGTAAAAAGGCACAGGCAAAAATAACCAAGTGTGTCTATATAGAAATAATTACATATAAAGCACACTGCCTCCAATCTAATACAAACCTTTAATCGTTAAGGTTGAAATAAAAGTACCTATACTTTAGATTAAAATTCCAGTATAAAGTTAGCATAAATCAAGGAAAAAACCTTCTATGAAATATGTTTATTAAAGTAGATCTTAGAAAGTTAAAAGATATTGGTTTTATATGTACATATATATATATATATATTTTTTTTTTTTCTTTAACATGCTGGACATGGAGCCCAATGTGGGGCCTGAACTTATGACCCTGAGATCAAGATCCAAGCTGAGATCAAGAGTTGGATGCTTAATCGATTGAATCACCCAAGTGCCCCGATATTGGGTTATATCCTTAATGACCAATAAATTACAAAAAGTAAGTTTTCAATATGCTTAATAATCCAAATAGAAAGAACTATCCAGGAAAAAACTTTTGCCTAAGAGATTACTTCTATGAGTCGCTGTCACCTAAAATAAACTAGTAATATTCGGTAAACTTTCATATATAATCAATTTGAGAACACCTAAATTTAAAATTTTGTTTGCTAAAAAATGACTTGTTTCATCCATTCACTCTAACATTTACTGAATGACTCCTATATACCAGACTGTACCAAGTTTCATATGAAGATTAAGTACTAGTTAGAAAATTAAAAAAGAACAAGACAAACCCAAAACTACTGACATCTTGGTTAAAGGAAAAACAAAGGAAAATATTTCTTGTAATTCTTTAAATAATTTACAACCTCCTTGAAAAAGAGATCTATAATTTCCATCCCCCTACATCAACTGCTACTTGAATTTGAGGTCCACAATTCTTTTCTATTAACTTAAGATTCATTATATTTTAGTTTCACATTATAGCAATGCTTTTCTAACACAGAATCAAAGTGATTTTAACTTGCTTTAACAAAAAACCCGGTGGACATAAAACTGCAAGATTATTTTCTACATTCTAATAATGTAGGCAGGTAGTACTATTTTAAAAAGCTTAAAAAAATCCCTAGCAAAAGTAATTGCCATAAAAACTACAAAAAGGAAAACGTAATTATGAGCAGTTTTTCAAATGACATGTGAAAAATGGAGCATTAGAAAAACAAAAGGTATGTATTATAGAAATAAAAATCCCAAGCACATTATTAATATGAAAAGTCTAAAAGCAATCTAAATCATATACCTCCTCATGCCAGAAAGGCGCTACCATGAATCTCAAAATGTATCTGAAAAAGGTAGGTCTGTAGATGGAGGTTAAAAAATAACTTGGGAGTATTTTGATCACTTACTCAGGCCTTTTGATCCCATGTCGTCAGGGATCTCCTGTAGAGAGTAGTTCCCAGAGAGCAAGCAATAAAAAGATAATCAAAGAAAATAGTTGTCAGTAATGCATAAAATTGGTGCTACAATAAGAGACAGTTCCAAGACCATTACAGGTGTACATATTTTAGAGAATTTTTGTAGATTTCTGAAAGTTTGAAATAAGCTAGCAGCTGAATGTAATGTACTAAAGGAATCAAAGTTCTAGCTTAGAGGCTGATTTAGGGTAGAGAAGCAAAATTTGGTATTATTTCCTGTTATTTTAAAAGTAAAATTCAGATTGTCTACATGTCCTGAAGACATAGGATAAAATGGAATGATTCCAGAAGATTTGTATCCAAGATTGTCAATGCTATACCTAGAAATCATTAAGTAGCTTCTCAGGTATCTAATTTTCCTTTGAAATAGTCTTTGAAAGCATTTTAAGTGTTTCTTCTAAGAACCCTTACATTAAATAATTCTATTTTAAACACATAACTTAAAAATACTGTTAACTTTAAATTAAGAATTCCTAAGGTGCCAGAAAAAGTTAAGATTGGTATGCAAATTAATTTATGTCTGTTAAGTTGCTCCTGGTTAAGACAGTTGGTAACCTGTTGCAGCTCTTGAAACTGTCTCCATGGTAACAACCAACTGCAGGGCAGTAGGTCCCTCTACATTTATTTTCAGTTGACCACTGGATCCACATACTTACGGTCAGCATCACTTGTTTCCTGCTCACTCTGGTCCTTGTTCTTGTAGAAGGGGAATTTTCGGGAAAAGAGGTTCTTTTTACGCTTGTCATTGAATGACTGCTGAAGAAGAGAAGGAGGGGCAAAACAAAGGGATGTCTACTATCTGTGTGTACAAAGGCCCAGCCTAGCAGCTCTGTGGAAGCTGACTCTTGTGACCACAGTGTGCAGTTTGTATATGAATTTTATTAATCACAAAGTGAATTTCTAACTTTGTATTAACTCCTCTAACATTTCTCAACTTAAAATATTTAAAAATTTAGTGTAATTCAGTAATACCTAGAAATAAGGAATAAGTGCTACCTGATTAAAAAAAAATACCTAGAAATAAGGAGTAAGTGCTACTTGAAGAGTAACTCAAATTAGCTACTACTATAGTACAAACCAGCTAATATCTGTTATCAATCCATATTTTTCTAGAAGATTCCCAGGTATGAAGTGCTCTATAGAAGTTATTTTAAATTGTTATTCTAGGCTATTCAAGTATTTTTTATGCAGTAGGTAATAATCTTCATTTTCCTCTGACTTGAGCATATTCCCTCCCTCCCCCTTTTGTGGCTCCAATAAACAAAAAGTCACTATTAAAAAAAAACCAAGGGCGCCTGGGTGGCTCAGTCGGTTAAGCAACTGCCTTCGGCTCAGGTCATGATCCCAGGGTCCTGGGATTGAGTACCACCTCGGGCTCCCTGCTCAGGGGGGAGCCTGCTTCTCCCTGTCCCTCTGCCGGCCACTCCCCCTGCTTGTGCTCTCTGACAAATAAGTAAAAAATCTTTAAAAAAAAAAAAAAATAAAGGAAAACCAAAACAACTGAGAAAGTTGCTAGTGCTGAATATTTAAAAACAATGAACCAATTTTTTTTTTTAAAGAGAAAAAAGAAACTAAATGCTTATAGTATGAATCAGAAAATGAGAATAAAACTAAGAGGGGTCCATCAAGCACACAGAATCCAGCAAAAGATTTATCGATGCTATCCCACCAAGAAAGAAGAGTCAATAGCTCTCCTGGCCAACTTGAATGCCATCCTAACTGGTTTATTTGTCTTTAAGCTCTACTATATTTATCTATTTTTAAAAGTATAAATAAACTGGAACCAGATTTAATTCATTGGCACCATATCTTGAATAGGGAATGAAAAGTTAGGTGTTTCTAGAAGCCAAAAAGGCATTGAAGATTCTAACAGTTATACAGAACTGCTATGGAGGAGCTGCACAGCTGATCTGATGTCCCTTACTACACAGATGTTGGAAACAGATTTTTTCCCTTTTTCAATGTCCCATTTGTGCCTTCACAGATTTAAAACTATGCTGTATAAAGAAAGGTGATGTTATTAAAGAGGGATAACTTCTTTTGTAATTTCTGTCACAGACATCCATGTCTTGAAGGAAATGGCCTGACCTACCAATGACACTAGGAATTATTACTTTTTGAAGCAGGAACAATATAAAGGATAAAAAATCTGTTCTGACTTTTCTTGAGTTTAATCCAATGTCATAAAATGCTATCATTATTTTGAAGTATATCTACACCAGGAAGTATGTTTTGGCATGCTTGTATTTTTAAGCATGTGATGCCAGGCAATTAAGGTGCTGAGGCAGATTAAGTAATTTTTGGTCAAACTCTATTATTTGAAAGGATTTGTTTTGGTGGGAATCTTAACACAAAAACAAGATTAAACTTTTATTTTTACCTTTTCATATCAATAATTCAGGATTAATAAATTCATAGTTCGTTTGTCCAACAGATTGTCTTGATTTTTTTTTTTAAAGATTTTATTTATTTATTTGAGAGAGAGTGAATAAGAGAGAGCACATGAGAGTGGGGAGGGTCAGAGGGAGAAGCAGACTCCCTGCCAAGCAGGGAGCCCGATGCGGGGCTCGATCCAGGGACTCCAGGATCATGACCTGAGCCGAAGGCAGTCGCTTAACCAACTGAGCCACCCAGGCGCCCAGATTGTCTTGATTTCAATCCTAAAATTTGAAGGCTCTGATAACGCTAAGCAGAAGTTAAAAATTAAGTTGATGAGAAAAATACTGTCAAGAAATTTGGACTTATAACTGTCAAGTAGCATTATTTAAATAAAAATCTTTGCTTGGATACAAATTTTAGAGAAGAGAAATGAAGAAAACTTAAGTTTCAATAGAGAAAAATTTATGATAATCTAATTTAGGGAAGGACTAAATCTTCTTCATGAAAATCATCAATGAATTTAGTAATAATTTTTCTGGTATATAATAAAACTGCTATGTTTTTAATAAAGGTATTTATCCCTCCTACTGCATATATAGTGGCCAGAGTCAGTTTCACAGCAAACAACCAAAAGAAACATGAAGTTTAAAATGTTTTGATTTTTGATATCTTAGCAATTAGCCAAAATGAGATATCATAAAGATATCATAATATAGGACAGAAAGAAATGCCTGTTAGTTAAGAAAAGAATTAATTTTATTACATTTAATGTCCTCCAGATGAAGAATTTATTAAAAGTGAAAATAGCACAAAGTAAAGAAGATAAATATGTGTAGGGAAAACACAAAACTGAAGAAATATACTACCTTTGGATTGTCTACATTTTCAATACAAAATACTCTATTTAGTTACTTGTTATGAATGCTATATTGCAAGAGAGATAGTGTAATAAATATAAGAACTGATAAAATATCACAAAATCATGATATATATATAAAGTATAAAATTTCTATATGCAGTATGTCAAAATAGCTAAATGAATGTTAAAAATGTTAATGAGAAACTGAAATGTTATAAGTCTGCAGTGGAAATAAGTCCATAAACCACCATGTAAGGAAAGGAAAAGAGGAATTCAGAATGGGAGATGGTAGTACAGAAAGAAATGCAGTTCTGCATCAATGGCAAGCGTATTTTTACCCCACTCAGTATCATGCATTCTTCTGGTGCTGTGTTAGGACACAGTGACTGTGTATAAGGTTGGTTACAGTCAACAAACAAGACTAAGATTTAAATATGTCGTTAATTCAGTTAACTTCTTACAGTATGAAAGAAAAGTTATAACATGCAACCTCATTTTCAATACACTGACAGTGTATTTTATGTATTTTACTAAGTTATTTTTAAGGACATGTATAAAACAAGCACAAAAAGCACTGTATAGATTTCAAATCCTGTTACTTGGGATTTTTTCCCTCCCCCAAATTTCTCTTTTAAATATTGCTTCAGGTCACACTACATAATTTTTTATTTTCTGAAAGCTGCAATTTTAAAGGAAATTATCATTTCTAAAATAACTGAATACATTATACAATTTACTTAGATTTAATTTCTTTGATCGAGGATATTGCTTATCTTATATTTTAAGCCTTTAAGTTTGAGTGCTTAGTGCTATCAGAGAAGCACAGATGATAGGATTAATTAATTTGCTGAGTTAACTTTCCACATTCATTTGAAATATGATCAAAAGATGTATAAAACTTTTGCTTTAGATTAAAAAAACAAATATAAAACATTCCTATGAATAGTATTTCAAAGCAACATGTGTGTTCAGTTTATTTCTTCAGGCTATTACTACAATATCCCATTGTATTAATTATACACATAGCACAGGACAAAGCCTGCAGTATCTCTTTCATCTACTGGCATCCATTAGATTCAAGCAGAACTTAAAATGAAAACAAAAACATGTTTAAAATTATATATGAAAGAATTTAGAAGTATTTCTTGACCGTCTTTATATAAACTCTTCCTCTACTGTCCCTTTCTTTATTCCCTCAAAATAAAAATTCATATTGATTCAAATATTTAAAGCATGGATTCTCTTAATAAATTATATTAGGCATGAAGAAGGAAAATAAAAACTCATATTATGACCTAGTTAATAATATTCTGGGCATATTTTCTGAGAAGATGCATTATTAAATTAGCTATCATGATTCATACAAGTTTCTAACTGGACATCTGAAGGCTGAATTTATTTCACTTGTAAAAATAACCTCACCAAAGTATGTTGTTAATATATCAAATGATAGTTTTGATAATCTGGAAAGGTTTATAAAATGAATGCTTTAATTTAATAAATTACTTACTTCAGCATCTACTATTACAAAGCATCACGGCAAGAGCTGTTGATAGTTAACTCTTATGGCAAAATCCTTCTAATTTTAATAGTGTAGTTCCAGCAAGAATTATGAAAAAGCCCATTATTCTCAACTATTAATATCTAGAAAAAGACATTTCATATACTCACCCCTTTATCTCCTCTTGTTTTAGAATTAAATTTCACTGTTTTTAATCGGGCTCGTTCTTTCTTCTCAACTCTGTCAAAGTACAGAATGCTATTTTTAAAGTATACCAAAATATCTAAGGGTCTAATTAGAAATCATCAGAACTGATACTCTAGTATGGGGCATTTTTATATTCTAAAACCTTCAGTAACTGTCTAGGTTTGTATCCCAAAACTGTAATTTCTGAAAATGAAATACAGGTCTCATTACCAAACAAAACCACTTGTGAAGTATCAAAATACAGTACATGTGTACTTATAGATGCACTCACATTCCATAATTATACTGAAATTATTATGAGGAACCACTTCTGAGTTTTGCAATTTTCTGGATTTTGTTTCTTTTGTTATTGTTGTTTCAATTATTAGCTTAGCATGGGGCATATATATGCTAAAAATCAAGCATAAGAGAGAGAAAGCCAACAGGGCAAAATGTTAACAATTGGTGAAAGTAGGTGAAGGATATGTGGGTGTTCCTTGTACTATTCTTCTTCTTGTACTTAATTTTCTGTAGCTCTGAAATTTTCATTAAAAAATGGGAAATACAAAAATCGAATTTAACTCCAGTGATAGATTTGTGTAAATACATGAAGTAACCAATTATAGTATACAAAAAGAGTTCTAAAGAGCTTTAAAATATCTGTGGAAGGATATACAAGACCTGGTAACCTTGTTATCCCTCTAAAAATGAAAAGGGTGCCAGGAGTACAAGGTTAAGAGGAAGCCTGTATAGCTTTTAGATCTTCTGATTTTTGAACCATGTTAAAGTGTTAACTATTCAAAATAAGTAAGCCAACAAAACTACATCAAAACAAATGTTTCATGTAGATTGTAATACCAATATGAACTTTGTAAAATTTCATGTCAATTAATAATGCTTTTTATCCTTAATTTCAACATAGCAATTATGTTAGTATATAGCAGAAAAACTTACCAAAATAGTCTATGAATAAATGCATTTTCTTCATTATCTAGCGATACAGTTTTACCGAGGGTACAGAAGAACCTTAGCAGTCATGGACTTAAAACTCGTTTTTACTATTCTAGAACAATCCATGACATGATGAGAGAGTCCACAACATGTTAACTAATTTGTAATTTTGCCTAGGCACTTACTGAGGGCATTGCAAAACTAACATTTAGTGAGTAAACGTTTACAACTCAAAATGGCTTTGTTTTCTCATCGTTACCTTGTTCACTAAGTAGCTGAGTGACTTAAATTGTGTTTATTTGTAAATACTGTTCCTGAATAAGAGCTGAGAACTATAGTAACTACAATTCCTTGTGCTATTAGAAGGAAAGAGGTCTAAGAAAGAGATAGTTCTATTTAAGAAAATACAAGTTTTGAATACATTCAAGAATGAGATGGCATAATTAGCTGTGGTTTCATATGTAGCTTATGGAAGAAAAATTATATTCTATAATTTTATTTATGAATTTGGAAATTTAGAGAGGTCTTAAGTCTCTTGCAGTACTTTTAAAAACCAACTTTACAGAATTTTTATACAAAATGAAAAGAATCTTTTTCCACCAAAGTCAGTGTATTTCTCATCTGTTGCAGGCACACATAAAGCCTATGCAAGATAGGAGGTGCCAAAGGATAAGACAATTTTTAGGAACTCTGACTCTGATATTTAAGATGTGAGGTTTCTACTGACTCAATGAGGCACAGAGACAGAGGAAGCATTTCTGAATTTAAAGTAGACTACATTCTATTCCAGGAAAAAAGTTATGCTGAGGGCTGCATTGCTAAAAGAGGAGTTGCTACCAAATATACGATCTAGCCAAATAGTTGGATCTTGTTAAATACATGGATCTAGCCAAGAACAGTCATAAATCCCAAAGCCATAACTACAAATCTTGGTAATACCTTAATATTCCTACTCTTCAACTTCTATAAACAGTAATATAAATATATATAGGTAGAGGTCTATAAATAGGTATATGATTTGGCATGCTTATCAATTATAGACTCTTAAAATAAATATTACATCATAGGCTTGACCTGAAGTGAACTAACCAGCTAGAATAAACATTAATGTCTCATTAACGATTTTTGCTGGCTATCTTAAAACTTAAAAAGACTTTCAGGCAATGATTTGCACGAATTGGACCTCACAAATAAGTTATTTGGGGAGAATTATGAACTGACATTTTAATAGCTTTCCCACAAAAGTAGGGACATTCAGCAGTATTTCACAGACCTAGAGAGGGTCCTTTACGCTGGGATCATCCTGTTCAAAGACTATCTCCACTTAACCACTTTTGCCAGTAGATAGTAAGTATGCATCACTATAATAAATGGTTAAAAGCAAAGAGGAAAGACCAGTGAATGCACCAATACTTCTAAATTAAGCAAGAAAAGAGATGTGAAGTAAATACCAGATACTTCTAAAATTTTTTATTTACACTTCCAATTTTTAAGTCTAAAGGAGGCAATTCACACAATCAAAAATCCTGAAAGTACTTAGTAGGTTTCATTACCACCTACATGGAGAAAGCACAGAGGCTTTTAAATCTTTTTCCCTCCAATGGTATAGATACACAGCAAAGTTATTTAAATATATTTATTTTGTTCTGAGCAACTAAGTAGGAGCTTTAGAGAGATTTCTCTTTGGAGGCATCATATTCTTTAATTATGTCACTGGTTATAATATAAGGTGAACAAAATTAAATGACTGTGAAACATAATATGGAAAACTAAGCATAAAATCACCCTCAGTAAAATAATTTAAAAAATCAACAATTATTTGTCTATGTTGCCCTACTTTCAAGTGGTAAGACTGTAATGGACTTATACTTACCTGCGTTTACTGGGAATTACCCCAACTTCGTCACTCTCCCCATCTGGTGTAACCTGCCTGGCTTGCCACCATTCATCATCAGAAGCATTAATAACATGGAGGATATCTCCAAATTTGAAGTTCAATCCCTGACTGGGAAGGCCACTGTCTTTAGTCTTGTCATAATCAAAAAGGGCTCTAGATTAAGAAGAAAAAAGTGCATGTTTATTTGGTGTTTTTGTTGTTTGTTTTAAAGATTTATTTATATTTTAGAGCGATAGAGAGTGTGTGAGAATCTTCAAGCAGACTCCTTGCTGAGTGAGAAGCCCAACAAGGGGCTCCATCTCACAACCTTTGAGATCATGACCTGAACTGAAACCAAAAGTCGGATGCTCAACTGACTGAGCCACCTAGGTGCCCCCCACCATATTTGTTATATTACCAATATTAAGTTAACATAGGATTCTGAAAGTGTATATAATCCAGATAAATAAACAACATACCACAGTAGGCAAAGTAATGCCAAGCTCAAGAATTTGCACTATATACAGAAAGACAAAGAGACAAAAAAGAAATAGCAAAATTGACTTACAGTAAATTTTTAAAATTAGGTATACTACCTTATTTCTCTCAATACTGAATGAAAAATTTTTAAAAATGCTTTTAGTATAATCCAATGGCAAGCCATATTGAATTCTAAAATGAAGACAAACCTAGAGAGTTACTCTAAATTAATAAACAAAGAGTAAATATTAAGAGGCACTCTTCTCTTTATTTTGGCTATACAAACTGGGTAAAACAAACTCCCTGACAGATTTGAGTCATTAGTTGTGGACTATAAGGATGGATTAACAGAGTGATTATTTTGTCAGTTAATTATTCCTTCCATTTGTTCACAAAGCTAGAGCCAATAGAATTTTCAGAGTCAGCAACAATGATGAAAACTAAGTACAGATGACTTTGCTGCCAAATATTTTGGAAAGAATACTGTATTAATATAATAATTGCAAAATGTTAATCTTTTAAAATTTGATAAAAAGAAAAATTGTGTTCTATTACTTAATGTACAATATTTAAATTCTTATCCAAAGTAGTTCTCTTAAGGAAAGAATCCTAGCAATTACATTTATAATACAATCTGTTCATTTTTTGGTTGTAATTTGGCAACTGGAAATTAGGATACAAATCATAGTCCTTTTTGTGTTAACCAACTTTTTTTTTTTTTAAAGATTTTTATTTATTTGAGAGAGATCAAGAGTGAGAGAGCACAAGCAAGGGGGAGCAGTACAGGGAGAGGGAGAATAAGGCTCCCCACCAAGAAGGGAGTCTGACGCGGGGCTCGATCCCAGGACTCCGGGATCATGACCTGAGCTGAAGACAGATGCCTAACCAACTGAGCCCACCCAGGTGCCCCGAGTATTAACCAACTTTTTAAACCTATCTTTTTTTAAAGTTTTTATTTAAGTTCCAGTTAGTTAATATACAGTGTAATATTAGTTTCAGGTGTACAATATGGTGATTCAACACTTCCATACAACACCCATACTCATCACAAGTACACTCCTTAATCCCCATCATCTATTTAACCCCCTCCCACCCACCTCCCCTCTGGTAACCATCAGTTTGTTCTCTGTAGTTAAGAGTCTGTTTCTTGGTTTGCCTTTCTCCCTCTTCCCCACCCCCATGTTCATTTATTTCTTGAATTCCATATATGAGTGAAATCGTATGGCATTTGTCTTTCTCTGACTTACGTATTTCACTTAGCATAATATTCTCTAGCTCCATCCATGTTGTTGCAAAAGTCAAAGCAAAACGTTTTTTATGGATGAGTAATATCCCATTATACACACACACACACACACACACACACACACACACACAACTTCATTTTCTATTCATCAGTTGATGGGACACTTGGGCTGTTTCCTTAATTTGTCTAATGTAGATAATGCTGCTATAAACATGGGGGGGGCATGTATCCCTTTGAATTAGTATTTTTGTATTCTTTGGGTAAATACCTAGTAGTGCTATTGCTGGATCTTAGGGTAGAACTATTCATTGCTGCAGATTAGAGAAAGCTTAAATGGGGTGTGTGAAGAGAGGGATATTGAAATAATTTACTCCACAAGACTCTAGAAATGCTCAGGAAGTAGAAGTGTACAGAATCCAGCTAGGCAGAGGTAAGTTACAGCAGTGAAAACAGAAGAACTGGTAGAAACACTTCATATAGCACTTAGACCCTCCAGATTCCTTCTCTTGTTCCCAAACCCATAGAAGACAAGAGGTTTAGTTTCTAAAGAAATTGAATCTGAGAAGCTCTGTACTTTGGAACTTGGTGGGGAGGCTAAAAACAGATTTTTTTTTTTTAAAGATTTTATTTATTTATTTGAAATAGAGAGAGAGAAAACGAATGGTGGGAGGGGCAGAGGGAGAGAGAGAAAGAGAAGCAGACTTCCTGCTGAGCAGGTAGCCTGATTCGGGGCTCAATCCCAGGACCTGGAGATCATGACTTGAGCCAAAGGCAGAGGCTTAAATAACTGAGCCACCCAGGTGCCCCTAAAAATAGATAGATTAAAAAGGAATCTGCACACTGAAAACTGAAATTCTAGCAACTTGGGGTTTAATACTGCAGGCAAGGGATTAAGGATTCTTTTCTAGAGATATTTAATGACCCCAAAGAAAAGAATGACCTGGGGTGGGAGACGGCAATGAACAAAGATAATTATTTTCTAGTTAAATCTGCTAGCTTCATTCTCTATTCATAAGGATCACTAAATATTTAAAGATCGCCTCATATACAAAATACAAGAAAACAAGTAAACTAGGAAAAAGAAATACAGAGAAAGCAGAAAATTTGAGCAGAAGAAAATATTAGAGACATGAGAAGATATTATGTCTACGAGATAAAAAGAGGATGACAAAACAAGGATCAATTAAATAAGAAGGGGCTCTCAGAAAATAAAATAGGATATTATACCCTCTTCCACACCCCAAATTCTCAATGGAGGAGAAGGCAAAATAAAGTCATTTTCAGACACGCTAAGAGTCAAAAAGTATCCCCCACACACCCTTTCCTCAAGAATTTATTGAAGAATGTGCTTTGGTAAAATAAAAGTAAGTTGAGAAAGAAAAGGTGCCATCTCAAAACCAGACTCTGACACAGCAGAGAGCTAAAAGGCAGTGGCAAAGGCAAGTCCCATGTGAGAACTATACAGCAAGTCTATAGAGCAACTAGTCCAACTGGAGCAGAAAGATGGAAAAAATTGAGGTGCCGGTGGCTCAGTTGGTTCAGCATCCCACTTTTAATTTCGGCTCAGCTCGTGATCTCAGGGTCATGAGATCAAGCCCCATGTCAGGCTCCACACTGGGCAAAGAGCCTGCTTAAGATTCTCTCTATCCCTCTGCCTCTCTCTGTGCCCTGGCTCACACACGCATCTCCTCTCTCTCTCTCTCAAAAAAGAGAAAAAAAAAAGATGGAAAAAATCTGAAGTGATAAGATCATATGTGCAACCACATGTTTCATCATGTGAAAAACTCTAGAGTTATGTAAGATAAAGAAAGATATTTAATAATAAGTACATGGACAATTAAGCAAATAAAAATGACACAATTATTATGCCCAGGAAAAATGAAGGGTTGCAAGAGAAAGGAAGCATGGTCATAATATACTACTTGAGTGAGTAATGACAGATAACTACATAGTCACATAACTCTAAATGCTATTAATTTTATTAGAAGTGATGGCACTATATTTGAGTGATAGAGGAAGAGGCAGAATGATCTGATATGAAAGAGAAAGTTGTTATCTATTATGACAATAAGTCCATAATGTCCAAAGTTGGTAAACTAGAAAACAGCAGTATATGTGGAAGGAAAGGCAAGGGACTTTGCTAAGAAAATGGAGATGATTATTTTTAGAGAATGAAATTGGGGATTGTTGGGAGGTGACAGTTATTTTTCATTAAGTTTTTTGATAATATGTAACTTGTAAAAGTATTTACTTCTTTAAAAAATAACAAAAAGGAAAGATGATTCATTAAATGTACCTAAAACAAATATAACCTAATGTTTTGATTTTTATGCTTTTGTAAGTTTTTAATGATCACTTATTAAAGATGACACCTAATTATACTAAAATTAGAAAAACAAGAAAATGAAAAAAGTATAAACAGAAATGTTACTCCTTTTTCTGTGGATATCAATATCACATAAAATACTTTAAGGACTCTGGAACAGAAAAATTTAATAAATATTGCAAGAATTAGTGGAAGGAAAGAAAAATCTGATACACTAAGGATTCCCAGATCATTGGTAGGGCAGAAGGAACGAAAGGGGTAGGAAAAGAACAAGTGAAGAAAGTGAGAAAAATTTCCTATTATGTATCACAGAATAAAATTATTTGAGAGAATAAGTCATATCATATGTAAACAAGTACAGAGTACATGCTTGTTTGTACTAATGTTTTTATACACATATGCAAACATGTACGGGATACTTGCTAATTTTACTTAACATATATCATCTCTCATCAGAAGAATAAATAAAATATACTAGGAAATGTTCCCCAATAGCATCAGAAGGACTGAAAAATAATGAAGAATGGTAGAGATTACCTGTAATCATCTATTAAAGTTAAAATAAAATAATAGTATAATAAAGCGCTGAGTAAAAGCTCTGCTAAAAAAAAGTATACAGAATACAAATATGTCATCTGTATTAAGTCCTATTAGCCAGTAAAATAAAAAAGAACAGTTTATATACTAATGGTATCTATTTACTACTATTAGATTTATTCTATCACATTAATCAATTATAGAAAAATAACAAGCTTGTCTTCTCCCAAGTATTCAAAAAATACATGTAGAAATTTCCTGAATCTGTGTCCTTTACTGAGGCTATTCACATTTTAAGCTATTATTTACATATGCTCTCTTTGCTATTATGGAAATTGCTGTAATAATTAAATGTTACCCAGAGAACATTTTATTATGAAGAATATTAAGTAAAAGTAAGTGTTGTGACATACCAAGCTACAGTATAGTCACTCATTATTATTCAAGAGGTTGTATAACTTTCATTAATACAATTACAATAACATTCCAACTCTTGAAAGACACACTCAGGAAATCAATCATAAAATAATGTTTCCTTGGTATGCAATATAGTTTTCTTTCTTTTTTTATAATATTTTATTTTTAAATAATCTCTACACCCAATATGGGGCTCAAACTCACAACCCCGAGATCAAGAGTTGCATACTCCACCGACTGAGCCAGGCAGGAGCCCCTGCAATGTATTTTTCTATAGTAAAACTAACTCAGTCATAGTAAAAAATGTGAAGGACTTTGCATGCATAAATAAGGACTGCCATAATTAGAAGTAAAAAAATTTACCTGACATAGAGGGATCGCTTCTGGCTAGTTCGAAGAGAACCTGATCCTGAACTAATGCTACTATTCATCATCTGCTCCCGTAAGTCATGTATTTTGGCTTCAAAACGACTGTATTCTGATGGGAAAAAAAATAAAATTTATACTTTAGATTCTAAAATAAGTTACTTGAAAATAAAGTATTAAATATGTTAGCTGTCTTTTTTGGATTAAATGTGGTTAGAACCTTAATAGAGTAACCTATATAAGATTTTGGCCAAAATGCAAACTTCAAAAAAAAAATTAACAATTTTCTAAATGTACCATAAGTTAGAATTGGCGGAATGAGAACTTTCTCATATGCTTTTTTAAAGTTCATATCACATTTAATCAATTAAAAGACAACTGTCATGCATCAAATACCAGTATCAATCTCATATTACTATCTAATTTAACTGTAAATTTTAAAAACTAAAACTCATAATTTATTCTGATTTTTATACTTAAAAAGAACAATCCTATAATGATTTGTAATAGATGCTTTGTTTACTGCCTTTAATACAGCAAAAATATGCCTTAAAAATTAATAAACTAAATTTACTTCAATTCATTTTGTAATTTATAAATTTTCAAAATGCCAAAATAGGACACAAAGCAATTTGAATAAACATTTTAAGAACGTTTTTATATAAAAACAGGTATGATTTTGAAGATGAACTATTTTAGACTATATCATAAAAACTACCAAATCTATTAAAACCTTAGGCACGTTTTCAAATATATTGCAATTATACACTTACACACTTTTATACCTTCTTCTCTATTTATAATAAACAAATTATTTTACAGAAATTAGGTTAGAGCTCATCAGATTTTCTTATAAAACCAGTCTTATATCAAGAGCAAATCCCTTGCTTGGGAGTTTGTATAGTTTAAGAAGACAGAGTAAGAGTAAGCGTGATTACTGTGGAGTTATTCTTCCTTTCACCATAGTTACGAAGTTTGTTTTATGGGTACTAAGATTAACTGAAGCAACAATTTATCAAAAAACTCAAAGACATTTAAAAGCTCTCATATTAATATGTAATAAAATGTTATCTTATTGTCCTTTAAAAATATAATAGAAAATTTAAAATATAAACGTTAGTAGACAATATAATGTACCCATTACAATTCAACAATTAACAACTCACGGCAAACCTTATTTGCGTAGACACAGCTAAGATACAGGCAGACTGATGGATGGAGATATAAATAAAAATATAAAGTGAACTCTGAGTTTATACTGGTTCTTCTTCTTTTTTAAAAGTTTTATTTATTTAAGTAATTTCTACACCCAACGTGGGGCTTGAACTCACGACCCCTGGATCAAGAGTGGTATGCTTCTCTGACTGAGCCAGTCAGATGCCCCTAAACTGGTTCTTCTAATTAAAAATTAAGACCGTTAGATTTTTAATTAATCTGTTCAATCATATCTGTATGTGCTTTCTTGCATAAGAGGAATTCTAGTTCTTAAGACACTGGGAATAACAGAGTTTTGCATGGTGACTTAAAATTTTATCCACTATTACATTCACAACAGCTTTAAAATAACACCACCAACAACTAAGACCATGACATCATTACTGAAAACAGCTAATTACTTTCCCTACTTCTTTTTATCTTACTTAGAGCATGGTCTAATAGAGAGAGAGAGATATATACAGTTTAATGGCTGTTTAAAGTGACTCTGAGTAGTTCTTCCCTAGGTGTTAATGTTGCCAATTGGATATACATTTAGGTTCATTTGTTCTTATTTAGTTTCACCTTCAATTTTTAGGGGTTGCTTTTTAAATTTTTCATTATTTTTAATAGGTAGGTAAAATAGTTCCAAGGTTGTATCTGTAAAACAAGGATATTAAAGATAAAGTTTAACTTCTAACCCTCTCTCCTACCCTACTCTGTCCTGGTCACTATATATAAATATTTTAAGAAAGGATTATTATAAACATTTAAAGAAAGGCTTTTTTAGTATTTATTATAAACATTTAAAGAAAGTTTTTTTCTTCCAGGGGCACCTGGGTGACTCAGTTGGTTGGGCATCCAACTCTTGATTTTGGCTTGGGTCATGATCTCACAACGCTGAGTGTGGAGCCTGCTTAAGATTCTCTCGCTCCCTCTCCCTCTGGCCCTCCACCCGCCTCCACTTCCCTCTTCTAAAAAAATAAATAAATAAATAAAGGTTTATTCTTCCATTTCTTTTTAAGATTTTATTTATTTTTTTAAAGATTTTGTTTTATTTATTTGAGAGAGCAGGAACACAAGCAGGGGGAGTGGGAGAGGGAGAAGCAGGCTTCCCGCTGAGCAGGGAGCCCGACATGGGACTCGATCCCAGGACCCTGGGATCATGACCTGAGCCGAAGGCAGACGCTTAATGACTGAGCCACCCAGGCGCCCCTATTCTTCCATTTTTAATAATAGAAGCAGATACACATGTATATGTAAATATATTTACACATACTTATTCTGTGTTATTTTAATATATATGTAATATGTAATTATACATATATATATATATACGCATTGCTCCTTTCTAAACAGTAACCTACACAATTCTTCCGACATGCTTATTTTACTTAACAGAAAGTATAGTAATAGTCTTACTAACAGTAATAGTAAGGACACTGTATGGTAGCATATATAGACATCTCTCATTCTTTTTTTTTTTTTTTAAGATTTTATTTATTTATTTGAGAGAGAGAGAATGAGAGAGAGCACATGAGAGAGGGGAGGGTCAGAGGGAGAAGCAGACTCCCTGCCAAGCAGGAAGCCCAATGCGGGACTTGATCCAGGGACTCCAGGATCATGACCTGAGCCGAAGGCAGTCGCTTAACCAACCGAGCCACCAAGGCGCCCCCCCCTTTTTTTTTTTTTTAAAGATTTTATTTATTTATTTTTGACAGAGAGATAGAGAGAGAGCACAAGCAGGCAGAGCGGCAGGCAGAGGGGGAGGGAGAAGCAGGCTCCCCGCTGAGCAGGGAGCCCGACGCGGGGCACGATCCCAGCACCCCGGGATCATGACCCGAGCCGAAGGCAGCCACTTAACGAACTGAGCCACCCAGGCACCCCTCTCATTCTTTTTTAAGAGCTATATAGTTCTTTTGCATTTAGCCTTTATCTCTTTGTTAGAAAAAAAATACTGTAGAGTTAGATTCTGCTTTATCAGCAAATCTGAAAATTGTTTTCTTTGGAACAATTAAGGTAACTTTTGATATAACTGAAGTTGTTTGATCTCAGTTCTATTCATACTATTTTATACTTTATTTATATATATGGCAAGCCTTCTGTATCAACAGTTGTGTCAGAGTATATTTTCCCAAGACATGTGCTTGCATCCCACATGTTCCTGTACTATGTGACCTTGACATTCCCCCATCAAGAGGTGGAGTCTAATCACCCTCTCCTTGAATTCTGGCTGGCCTTTGACTCACACGCAAATGAACATGGTAGAAATGATTATATGTGATTTTCAAAGTTAGATTAAAAGAGGCCATGAAACTTTTGCCTGTTTCTTTAGGGATGCTTGTTTTGGGGTTAGTCAGATAACCATGGAAGAAGTCTGATAATCCTCAAAGCACCATGCTGCAGAGGTCCCATGATGGTGTTCTGAGCCCAAACTTTTAGCCAGTATCACCAAAGCACAAGACAAGGGGAGTAAAACCATTTTGGACCCTCATCCACCAGCTGAATCCCATTAAGTGACCTCAGTCTATGCCACAAAGACCATCCAAAGTCATGACTGAATTCCTAATCTACAGAATCCATAAAATCGTTATTGTTTTAATCCACCAAGCTTTGGAGTAGTTATGAAATAGTAACTAGAACACACTCTTGCTGTGCAGTCTATTTGTTTACACATACACAAACACAAAAGGACAAGCCTTCCTAAATTTAAAAATACATATTAAATTCCTAAAACAAGGAATTATATAAATATATACATATATATAAAAACTAAATTTATATTTTATAAATATATTTATAAATGTATTAAATTATTTTAAATATGTTTAATATTTCATAAAAATATTCAAATATTTAATAAAATATTTTAAATAAATTCATATACTTTCAAAGACAAATATATAAATATAAAATTAGGAAGGTTTATTCTTCTGTTCTAATGGTAATCTTTTGTTTGGTTTTTGCCCCCTTCACCATGAGCAATCTCCACAGAGCCAAACTGAAATATTATCCTTTTATATCCAGTTTAAACTTTAAAGCAATTGGAAAGCTTATACTATTTTCATAGGATCTTCAAATTTTCCCCATTTTCTGATAATTGTACTTTATCCAAATTGTCAGAGCATACAGTCTTTTCATATTATATATTCTCCTACTTACAACTAAATTAATTGTTAGCACCAGTCCTTAGGTCAGTATCTCTCCCAACATTTTGGGTGTCTGAAGTTTGTTCTTTCTTCTCAGAGTGACCTGAATATCAATCTGTTTATACATTTGACTGCAGCCTTTATATATGAAAGTCTATTTGATTCAGTTTCTTTCTTTGATTGAGTATGCTGACTACAGTGTTTCCCATGAGCCACTGCTGAAGTTCTAATGACTACCTCATTTTCTTTCCTTTAAAGGGCATTTTTTTTTTCTTTACTTTTTTATTTTGAGATTTTTGTTATTTATTTGTGAAGTTAAAAACAAGTGATAGAAAGTAAAAACTTGCATACAATTTTTGGTTTGTTCTCAATTTGTTTTTAGTTTCAATGTCGTCCTGAACAGATGCAACAGGACAGACCAGTACTGGGAGTGAGGGGATCCCAGGGGAATGGAGCCAGGCAGAGAAGGAGAGCAG